CACGTAGGCAGAGGGAGCAGGTTTCCCCCCTCCCTCAGGAATGCAGCCAGCTCAAGTTCCCTAAAGAGACAGGCTGAGGGTGTGGTCCCCTGTGTGCTGGGCCCATCCTAATTGAATGGTCACAGCACAGAGATTTAAATCACAGTGTCACAGGGCAGAGATTTTTTGGGGGAGAAACCAAGGTGGCTTTCTGCCACACAGCACTCCTCTGAGGTTGGAAATCCAGGTTCTGATCCTCTGCTCAAGGGAGTGCTTAGGCATTTTGCATTAAATTGCCATAAGATAAAGTGTTGACAGTGTTTTCATGACAGGGCTACTGAATCAGACCCCCTTTTAATTTCTCTCTCTCCTCGGAGTCATCATGAACCTTGCACTCCATTCACAACAACCACAACGGCTCTGGAATGGGCTCCCAAGGAAGCTGGTGCTCTCCCCTATCCTTGGGGGTCTTCAAGAGAAGGTTGGATAGATATTTGGCTGGAGTATTATGATCCCAGCACTCGTTCCTGCCCAGGGCAGGGGGCTGGACTTGATAATATGTTCAGGTCCGTTCCAACCCTAGAAACTATGAAACTATAATTTCAATTGGAGGGCTACAGAGTGCCCCATCCAGCCTTGTCTCTATCTTGGTAAGGGTGCCTAACTGAAAAAGAGGAAGGTGTAGTTTTGAATCTACTCAGGCCAAAAAGAGCACCAAACCCAAACGTTACATTTCTTGGGAAAGCATCCCAACCACAGGGCTATTACAAAAGGTAGTCCCCATCCTTTGCCACTTTCAAAAAATGCAGCTGGAGGAGATGGTGCAATGTCCACTGTACCTAGTTCATAGCTCAATACTATCAGTATTTGGTATGTTTTGAGTACACCAACCAGACTGGGCCCTTGAGGTTACCTTGATCTTAAGAACTCCTAATTAGCCAATCCCCAAAAAATGGTATAGGAGGCCCAACATACTCAAATCAACCATGATGGCAGACCTCTAGGTATACATAACAGCATAATATTAGGTGGCTCATTTGACTGGCAAAAAATTTAGGCACTAAAGCCTCTCTCACATTTGAGTGGTTAAACAGGTTTTTGTGGATCACTCAATTGAACTTTATCAAAATTCAAGCACCTAAGTTGCACTTCAGGCATGCTGGGCCAGATACAAAAAAAAATAAAAAATAGCTTGACCTTTTGAACTCGGGCATCTCAGTGTACATGGAAGGCAGAACTCCACTAACCAGACCATGCATCAAATCCATTTATAACAGCAATTTTGTTAAGTTTCAAACTCTGGGACAGGAACTCCTGTCTTACATGTGTGGACAGTATATAACAATGCATACTGCCTAATTACAAATGTCCATTTCTAGCTACAAGCAACATAAAGGTGGCAAAGAGGAGGACATCGCCATTTATTATCAGTTATGTGACATAAATATAAATACCAACATTCAATTCAAAATGTAGATTTTATTTCAATAGCTCTAACCCAAGGTAAAGCTAAACTGTCTTTTTGATTTCCAAATTACTACAAACTTTTAAGATCACTCACCAGGTCACATAACACAAATTACAACCCCAACATCACTAGATACATCTTCAAACAGCCAGGTAATCTGGAGCTGTGAAAATGAAAGCCACGTCAGACTGAGAAGAATTAAACCTGTGGATTACTGGCCTTTAACATTCCTTAAATTCCTACCAGTATACATAAGTTTTATTGCTCGTAAGTAAAGTAACCAATATAGTCAACCTAAGAGTAAAATATATTTTCCTGCAGAGTAGATGCAGCCAGTACATACATGGCTGTTTGCAAAGTCGCACTAAAACATCTCTATACCAACCCCCTTGTAACAGAAACATTATTTTTAACTTTATTTTGGCTGTCTAGCCTGATGTTTTGTATGAAAAGTTAGCAGGATTATAGTCATCAAGGTATGCACAGAAAAGTTTCAAGACTGTAGAATCAAGCTTCTGCTGTATGAGCATGAAGAGCTGGTACAAACAAGTAAGAGCCTTATTAAAAGAGCCAATAAATTTTTAAGGCTGCACAAGGTCTTCACCACTGCTGGACTGGCATGGTATAGTACAGTGTTATAAGAGATTTTAATTGGCCTGACAACATTCACACAGTAACACCAAAAGCAAATAATACATTTTAGATAATAGTTGGTAAGGTAAGAAATAGGCATTCCAGGATGCAAAGTGCTGAAGGGACTGGTAACAAGGTATTTCCTTTGATTTTTAAAATAGCGTAATAAAACTTCATTTCCGATCACTGATTCAAACATCGGCAAGGCATCTCATTTGAGGACTACTCTGCAGCCAGTAAAAAAAATCAATTTTACATCTCAATAAAAACCTGTTCACTTCAGAACGTAGCACAAATGTGTGGCACTGATAACAATGGTCTATTTTTATCTCCCATGTTAAGTGTTAGGACTGCTAGTTACCCAGTGCTGGGAAAGTAGAAAGAAAAAGCAACAGGGTAACAGAAACTGAAGAATTAAATGCGATTTGCCAACCAACACCTCTTATTAAATAATGAGCATCAGCACTCCAGAAAAAGCTATTCTGGATCTGGGGGGTGGGGGGCAGAGGAGGTGATGAGGGACTAATAAAGAGAGAAAAAAGAAAGAGAGCATGAGTGAGCGAGCACACAAGTTCAAAAGCATCAGGAAAGGGCTCAATCTAGTGACAGTGGATAAGAAAAAATTATATTTTTGTACGCCTTTCCCCCCCGCCATCATTGGCAAGACTTCCAATGCAACACTTGTAGTCTCCAAAATCTCAATCTTTGATTCAATTCATAGGTAAGAAAATCTGTTTGACTGCAGTTGTGTGGGAGGTTTGGGAAAAAACTTTGTGCTAAATGCTGGCTGACAAATGCAGGGCTAGATAGCAAGAGTCCATTCCGAAGCTGAAAATCCCAGACGGTGAAGGCAATTGACAGAGAGAAAAGGGAAGTTTGAACTGAGTGGGAGTAGCTAATTTACTCTGTAAACTGAAGGAAAGGAAGTGTTTAATACATTACATTCTATTCTAAATTAGAAGCTATGGTTTTGCATATCGGGCACAACTCAATACACTCTCAGTCACAGATTTTTAGTTTAGCTCTGTTGGATAAGACTAGAAATGAACTGGAAAAAGGCAGGCTTCCAATTTACTACATACTACACAAAGGGCCTGACCAAAACTAATTCAAATCAATGGAGTCTCTTCATTGATTTCTGTGAGCTCTGGGTGAGATCCCCCCAGTACAAGCGTTTCACATCTTGTGTCACGAACACAAGGATGCTAAGGTACCTGCAAATCTAAGTGGAGAAATTCTTACAAATCAGACCTTAAGCAGGTTGGCAGTGGAGAGGATATTGCCCCTGTTGTATATATGCTGTTGATAAAGAACTTCTCTTTGTAGTGATGGTACTTTCCACAGCACTTAAAAAGCATGTACATTGCAAGAAAAAAGCTGAATGCATCAAGTTTCACTAGAAAATTTACATGATCTTAACATAAAATATATTTGATTGTTCATTTTGCTGATAGAAAGAAGGAAGCAAAGTACCAGCAATCTAGCATTTGTCAAGCTATGAAAAATGTCACATTCTTCCTTTACAACACACTCAGTACTGATCATGTGAATGCATCTAACAAATGTCTTTCAAAGGTTGATTTTGGACTTGAGGGAAAAAATAAAGGAAAATGATCATAAAACCTCTAATATTTTTTTATCCCTCTCATGAAAGAAAAATTATAATGGTAAATCCTATTATTTATGCAAGTTTAAGATAAAAAAAGTCATCTGATTTTGCAAGTGACAAGGGCCAAAAAAAGGTCATAAGAAGGTATTAGAAAATCCTTATTCCTACCTGTACATTTTCTTCCGTAACTTGAATTTCACCAGTATAAATGTAATCAATAAGCATTCTCAGAGTCCAGCCATCAACTTCCTTTATCCGAACTCTCTTTGCTCGACTCTCAGTCATCTCCCCTACAAAATACAATTTTGTGATCTGGTTATTTTAGATGAAGATCCCTCACAAATTACAACCGTTCTTTCCTGCCACAGAGGTGATCAAACCTAAAAACAAACCTATTCGGGTCAGTTGAAAAATTTAGCGTATTTCATTTAATTATATAGTTCCTATCTCCCTTTAAAAAAAGGAGTTATAGTTATCATAAACTGAATGTTAAGTGATTCAGGAAATCTAGTTTCCTCAGCATGGGCCACTAGTGCAAAACGGCTGTTGGATTTAACAACTGGCAGTCTCTTGACTCACATACAAAAATATTTCACTACAGTGAACTCATAAGACACTCTTACCTTATGCACTTCTTGTGCCAAGGAGTTTTTCCACGTGCTGGCAGTAGAAGCAGTTCTAAAAAAATCCAGCCCCCCACAAGAGAATCAAGCAATCAAAGAATGTTTATATGAAGGAGTCATGAGTAGACAATTTTGCTTTTTATATCCTCCACCAGTGGAAATTTAAATAGAGATTAAAATGGAAAAGGAGGGGAAACTCACTACGTCTCATTTTGTGGAGGCTTAGATATGAATCATTAAAACATTTACCATGAAGCATGATCTTAGAAGGTTTCAGGACAAAAAGTAACTAACTATGACAATAAAACTGCTCTCTCAGGATGCAGTAATTTGTTCATATGACAAATCACTGCACTGCACACATGATGGCTTCCCGGGCATCAGCAGAATGCCAAGTGGAACACCAGAATCCCATTTTGAGATAGTGTCTTAGAGAAGATTGTGGCTGAACTACCGAATACCCCAGATCTCTTTGCAGCTGGCCAATCTGCTTATAACACCTGGTGAAAGAAGCAAAACCGCACTGGTTAAAACGGTAGAATTTCTCCTACAAGCAATGGATAAAGATTAGGTGTCCATACTTAAGTTGTCAGCAGTCCTAGATGCTGTTAATTACAAGGTAATGCAAGCTTGCCTAAATGCTAGAGGTGCACAGATACATAGGTCTGATATCGGATGGGCACCGATATAAAGAAAGTTTACTATATCGGAAATCAGCCATATCAGGCCAATGATTTGGCCAATAAATGGCCCATGCATGCGCACAGCCGCAGCGCAACACGGGCAGCGAGGAGCACAGCCTGGCAACATGGAGAGCTGCCTCCAGCTAGTAAGTCTGGTGTGGTGGAAGGGGAATGGGCAGGGAAGGGGCATGGGAGGCATGGGCCTGGGGCCAGTGCTGCCCAGCCAGGGCGGGGCAGGCAAGGGACAGAACGGTGGCTCAGAGGGCATGGGGAAGGATGGGCTTCCTCATGCCACCACTGTGTGCCACTGATCTAGCAGCTCATCTGGCACCTGTCAGCTCCTGCTGCTTGTCTAGGAGGGCACAAGGGGGGCACGTGCCCCCAGATCTGCATGGGGCATGCCAGGCTGGGGCCACACCAAGCTCTTCCTGGCAGGGCGAGGCTGCAGCCACAAATTCACTGTAGTCCTTTCCCAGCACAGCCCTGCCCCACCTGGAAGAGCTTCGCACAGCCCCGGCCCCAGCCTGCCCTGTGCAGATCCAGGGGCACACACTTCCCCTGCCCTTCCAGACGAGCAGCAGGAGCTGCTGGACCAGTGCCATGCAATGGCGTGAGCTGCTCCCCCACTCCATGCGCCTCTTGGACAAGCCGTGGCTCTGTGCCACACTCACACTACCTCAGCTGGGCAGCACTTGCCCCAGCCCCTGCCCCACACCCTCCCTCACCACAGGGGCCTTAATCTGCCCCCCACACCCCTTCTCTCCCCCCCCCCCCCGTCCCCCCCACCCCCCTTACCACCCGGAGGG